GGAGAATTTGGAATATCATCTCCCACTTTAGTTTTAGGAGAAACCAGCCCTATACTCAATAATTACAAATACACAAGCTATTAACTTCTGGAAGTCATATTGCTATTTCCAGGTTTGTAATGGAGGGCAAAGAGGGGAAGAGAAGGAGACTGCCAAACCTGCAATCACTAAAACTGACAAAAGAGGGTGCTTCAAGTCCACAAATGGCATCTCAGCCATGCACACAAAAATAAAGCAATTCCAAAACACCAGCAAATACTCAATCACGCTCCATCACACTCTCTGCAAATGAATTTTTATATCACGGGCATTCTCATGCTGATATCCTGGCAAACTCAAATCAACACACCACTCTCACAGGAACACACTCTCAGAGTTCAAGAAGAATGCAAAGAATGCAAGGAATGCAATGGAATTAACCAATCTTCACCATAAAAGCGGCTCCAGGTGAAGCCAGGGCCAGGCTTCAGTTGTAAATGAAGACTGTTCTTTCCTTTCTTCCTTTCTCCATCCAAGTCAAGATGGTGGCAGCCTATGCTACAAGACAGCAGAACAATGATTTTTCTTGAAACTACAATCTTGGCCTGATACAACAATTCCTGATACCTCCTGGGGACAACCTCTAATACTTCCTAGGGGACTCGAACCCCTAATACTTCTTGGGGATTTGAAACCTAGGCAGGGGAAACTCGAACTCTCTGAGGTGGGGAACTCAAATCTCCCCCAGATAAACTTACCCAGGGACTCAAACCCTGTTGGGGGAGACTCAAAACCCTCTTACCAATAATTCTGGGTGGGGATTCGCATCTTTTGTCAATAACCCTAAGAAAAATAATTTAAATTATTCCTTTACGTACCCCAGGGATCTTGCCTTGAGTCCCTGAAGGTCTGAAGTTGAGGTTCTCCCTGAAAATTCCTCAGTGCCATCTGGAGATTTACCAACCATAGATTCATTGAAGCTCTTGGATGATCTTCTGGCTGGCTCTCCAATTTACTGTCACAAAATCTCTGGAAAAATCTCCAAAATATCAGAATAAGACTCCTTAACATTAATTTGGTTTAAAGAGGGCATCATTTATTCAAGCCTGAAGTCACACAAAGGATACTCCTAACCATTCGTGCACACACAGTTTTACAAGTAAGAGCATATTACAATTTACCCATTACCAAAAAGGCCCCCCCAAGTTCCCAGATTCAGTCCTTGTTGTGTCTATTTTACTACATTCTTGAGCCAGATGTCATCTTCTTATCTTCCAACTGTTCTTGCTGGGAAAGAACAGGGAGGGTGTGCCTTGTTTCTCTGCTAAAAGTTCACAGGCACAGGAAAAATTAAATTAATTCTTTTGGTGTCACTTAGAATGGAAGTGTCTCTCCAGCTTCCTTACCTGAGCACTCCTGTTCCTGCAGAACCACCCTGATAATGGACCTCCATGTGTTGGACATGGTGGCTGTCACCTTGACACGGCCAACACTCACCTGGACGGGCTCCTGGCAGGTGTCCAGGGTGACACAGTAGCACACAGTTGTCTCTTAGGTGGTGGGGAGAGTCCCCCTCTGGGACATGCGGGTGTAGGTGTCCTCCAACCTGCCCAGGTGAGCTTTGACCAAGGACAGCTCCAGGCCCAGCTCCATGGGGAACAGGTTGTAGTCCAGGGGGTTGGAGGAGAAGATGGCCACAGGGAAGGTCGTGGCCCCATAGACCAGGTGGGGGAAAAGGGCAAAGCTCTGTGTAGGTGAGGTGGTCACTGCTCATCCCCTGCCCTGCAGCCTCAGTCAGCCTCTGTTCCACACTGGAATGGGGCTACCCCACGGCCATCGGAGAGCCCCAAAAGGGCTCTGACCCATGGCTGCCTGAGAGCCCCAGAATGACCCCAGTGACAGTGTGGGTCCCAAGAGAATCATGAAAGCCCTTGCACACTCGGGGGAGGCCCAGCAGAAAGGAGCTGGGAAAAGGACAATGGATGGTGACACTGCCCCTCCACTTCCCTTTTCTTTTGTTGTTGTTGTTGTTGTTGTTGTGATGCCATTTAGGTTTTGCCTTTTTTTTCTTTTCTATGTTCTCGGTATTCTTCACACATCTATTTGTAGCTCTGTAGTCTATTGTGTTAGTGACTAGTTTTCCCAGTACTTTTCCATGGCCTTTCCTTAAGCAGAAAGACAAAACAAATTCCAGAGCTCCAAGCCCTGGGAGGTACAAGGCTCCAGTGCTATTTTGGCTCTTCCTGGGAATCCAGGCTGAGAACAACTCTTCGAGATGCATTTTCCTGGGCAAAGTACACCTAGTGCTTCCAGAGAAGGAGCTCGACCTGTGGGGGAATTGCACCACCACTTGTACTCCCAATTATGATAATTTCCTAAAACCTGTAAAATGTACTCACCCCTGGGGGAGAAGGGGCTTTTGTGGACATCTTTCCATAACTGCTCCTGGAAGCCTCCAAAATAAAGATCCCCTTTTATATTACCTCCTTATTAAAATTATCCCGAGTTCCATTTCCAGGTTAGGAAATAGGTAATAGTTGTTGTTGTCGTTGTTTTGGGGGGGAGTGGAGGTGGGTTGATGGGTTTTGTTTATTTTACTACTGGTTTCATTAGGGAAAAGACTGCTCAGCAACAGACAGAAGGCCCTGGTTAGTAATCAAGAGGAAGTTTTAAACATCCAGCTGAGAATCAAACACAATCCCTCTAGGAAGTTGTCTTTGTCTTACTTCCATGTTAGAGCAAAATTAATCTTTGTTAAAGCACTTTATCATTACAGACCTCCTATTTCTTCTGCATATAGCAAATATACAGGTCAGGCAGACTCTCTCTGCTTGAATAAGGCTGACTTTTTTCCCCCCACATCTGCGTGTCTTTTTTTTAAACTATGACAGTTCATGGACACAGAGCAGAGTGCCAGGACATCCACAGAGCTGGAGAGAGCAACATACTGGATGGTATTATACAATTTTAGATGGGAATAGGAGTCCTTATTAAAAGGGGAGAAGACTGGGACCAATATCACCACCAGTATCTTTGTCAGTGGCAGCACAAGATCAATCACTACCCATCCAAGACTGGCTCAGAAAACTCTACATACTCTACATTTCTGGCAGCAGCAAACTCCACATACCATCCATTTCCTCCTAAATGAAGTCAAAGGCTGATGTTTTCCAAACAACCTCCACTACCTGAATTTAACTAAAGAAAAAGCTGAACCCTACAATTGCTACATGAATTCCCAAACCATCTCAAACCTTCTCCACAGATCCAGGCAGCACTTCAATGGGAAAAAGTTGGCTGGAGCAGAGAAATCCAGCTGTTGTTGAGAAAAACAGCTTTCTGATAGTAACTGTGCATAGTTCTCCTTTGAGCTGAGGGTTTCTATGGGTCCAAATCTTGAGATATTCAAAACCCTTGCCCTGACAAGGAGCATTTGGCTCCATGTTGCAGAATGATAGTGCTGGATTCAAGGAAAGTCAGTTCTGGGTACTGGTGATGCTCTTGTGATTGCAGGAGTTAAACTGCAAAGGAGGAAGGCAAATCACTCATGTGTGGACAGCGAAAAATATTAAAGAAGAAGGTGATCAGTGGTTGTGCTCCTTATCTGGTGCCACATCTCCTGAAAAGGGCAATAACTGTCTGAAGGTGCTGTAAGATAAATCCTTGTCACACAAGAGGGAGGGTTCCTTGATGCCTTTATATTTGATCAATCTATCAGTGCCCCACCAGCCTGTCAGTGCCCCATTTTGGAGCCCCTGGCGTCTGAGAGTGGTTTGACTCACACGTTCAGCATCACACTGACATTGTCCCCATTCTCATTTGGCACATTATCAGTTTTGTCAAGTATGTTCTCCACTGCTGGTGGCTGCCAGTTGCCCATGAAGGACTCACACTAACAGCTTGTGGAATAACACACTTGATTAACAACAACACAAATACACTGACAACAGAAGCCCTGAGTTACAGATTAAGGTCCAAAGATGGCTGCTGGTTGTAACTGACTACAAAAACAAATCAAAGTGCCATCCAGACAATCACCAACAAAATCTTGACATACTCATTTAGTGCAGAGACAATATAGTTTCTACCTATTAGATGTCCCTAGGGAGAGAAGACAGGTTCAGGCCATAGAGCAACCCCAGAAGTTATGATGGTGTCTTCTCTGACCTCTCCCCACTGAAGCATTATTTATATTGTTTTCCATTGGGGAGGAGCAAGGATAAAGTTACAGATAATGTCCTTTCATGTTTAGGTGGAGTTTGAGTGACTTTAGTCATTAGCATAGGTAGGGATGTGAAAGGTAATAAGAATTTTTGAGTTCATGAAGCAAAGTTCAGTTCCTGGTTACTATCTGGATCACTCCTCTGCCTTAGTTCCCAGTAGCTTCATTGTTTTCAATAAAGCATGTCCACAAGTCCATAGAACCTCTGTGCTGCTCCATCCCTTGTTTCCTGTCTTCTTCAGAGCCATACACCAAGCCCCCTTGTCGTTCTGCTCCCCAGGTGTGCAGACAATCTGTCCCTGGGGAACTATGGCCAATGCACATCCTCCTTCTGGGTGAACTTTGCTTTTGGTCTTCTCTCCACAATCCTCTTGAAGATGGTGAGATGCTGGGGAGTGTCAGGAGGAGGAGATGGCAGTTCTTATAATAGAATCATAGAACTGTTTGGGTTGGGAAGATTCTTAAAGATAATCTCATTCTGTCACCAGCCATGTGCAGGGACACTTTCCACTAGACCAGGTTGCTCCAAACCCACCCAGCCTGGCCTTGAGCTCGCCCAGGTATGGGGTGTCAACAGCTTCTCCAGCAACTTCTTCTTCCTAATGTTTGGCCTTAGAAGGACTTGTCACACATCTCAAAAGAGATATTACAGGGACATCAGCATTACTTGAGACCATGGGAAAGTTCTATCCTCTTGGGAAATATCAGAAGTCAGATGACACGTGAGAATGGGAAGAGCCAGCAGAGATTCACCAAGGGCAAATGGGGCTTGACAAACCTGGTCACCTCCTAGGACAGTCCCCAGCTCAGCTGGGGTGGGGTGAGCAGTGGACATGGTCTACCTGAGTATCTCAAAGCTAGTGATAGAATTTCCCACAGCCTCCTGATGAAGAAAGAGATGTGTGAGAGTCTGGACAAGGGCTCCATGCTGTGGGTGGGAAGTGGCTGGCAGGCAGTCCCCAGAAAGTGCTGGGAAAGGGATCCTTTTCAAACTGGGAACCTGTCAGAGGTAGGGGCCCTCAGGGAGCCATATGGGGACCAACGCTCCTTATTCATCACTGATTTATGGGGGAAAAATCCATGTCACTAGAAGTCAGTTTCCACAAAGGAGACAGAAGAGTCCTGTAAAAGTGACTTTATTCATGAAAACAGAGATATGTCAAAAGGAGGTCTCTCTCAATTAGTTGAAGCAAATAGTGTTCTTTTATTTTTATTTCACAGCCACATCACACCCTCCTCCCTTCCCCACTGGCTGAGATATTTGGAAGGTACAGACTTCCCTATGCACCTACTACATGTCCCCCCTTGGTTTGTACTCCACTCTATAACATATAATACACAATAATTAAAATTAGCTTTAAATCTGCCCTGGACAGAGAAGTTAACAGTCATAACACTAGTAAGTCTTTATTTCTCTTCCCAAAGTTCAGCAGTTTAGCACAACCTTGGCTGAGCAGCAGTCCATGTCAATTAGTAAAGCTTCCTCAAATTCATGGGTTCTCTCATTATTTCTTATGGACAAGTATCTGGCTTTATCCACAAGGAGATTCACACAGCCAGTTTTTAAAGACAGATTAATCTTATTCCTGTCAGATTTATGATCAAATGGAGTCAATCAGTGGAGGCACTGATCTCCTTGGTTCCACGAGGCCCTGCAGTGTCACAATGACCCCCTCGGTTCCACAGTGTTACAATGGATCCTTGGTTACACAAGACCCCGCAGTGTCACAGTGGCTCCTAAGTTCCATGAGTGGGTGGGTCAGAGTTTCTGCACTCTCAGTGGCTGGAGGAGAGGCCCCAAGAAAACGATGCTCATTGTGCTGTCATCCCTTCTGTCCCCATGTCCAGACCAGCCCCACTCCTCTGTCCTTCCCTGCCACACACTCGGTGTGTAACACATGTACAGGTGGCATCACGAGTGTGAGGCAGGGCTGGTACCAGGGGAACCTCTGGGGCAGGAGGCCAGAAAGGATGAATTCCCCACACACTGCAGCTCCCTGTGCCAGCCAGGACACCTTCCCCAAAGTGAGCACTCCTGGGCTCAGCCACACTGCAGCTCCCTGCAAACCACCGTGTCTTGGGGATGGTTTATAACCCCATATCATTTGGGGGGTTTTGATCTGTTTTGTTTTGTTATGTGCCCGGGGTGGTGGCTGTCCCTGCCGCAGTCCTCATCCTCCCTGGCTCTAATGGGAACCAAGTCAGGGTTTCCAGTGGGAGCTGGGATCAGGACGAGAGGCAGTCCTTTTCAGGGCAGGCTATTCGACTGGACACAAGCAGCCAGTATCTCTGACTGGGGATCCTGCTGCTCCTGTGGGCTTTGACTGCTTCTTTTTGGTTCTCTTTTGTTTTGGCACTGTCACTGAGCTTGCCAGCTTGGCTTATTTTGCTGCTTTGCTGTCAGAAAGCCCAAAGGCAGCGTGTGCACACCAGGACCCAGGAACACCCTGTCTCTCACCAAGGGCTGCTCCCCTCCACATAGCCCAGACCCAGGCTCCTGACAG